ATTTACTCAAATATTTTATATGCCCGTAAAAATATACATAATTTAAATAAGAAAGAAGATATCCATAATATTAACCTTAGAGCTAAGTCCGGAGTATATATTAAGTTTATCATTTCCTAAGTTTAAAAACTACATTAAAACTATTTTGATCGAAAAATCATATTACAAAATTGAAGACTACGTGTTAGATAAAGATGTATGGAAAGACGACATGGCTCCAGAATCCACCCAAATTTGATTCAAAGTGTATTCCATAGCATTTAAGTTTATTTGAAAAGAGCAATCCCTAGAGTTTCTTGCTCGTTCTTCTCAGGGAGGTCAGCGTAGTGAACGAGCAGTAGCTTAAATGTGACGTTTTCAAGTGTAAATTTATTTTACCTATGGAATAAATAATCTTTGACTTTGACTTTGACTTTGAAAACTCCTAGCAGTACAAAATTTAAAATTTTTGGTTAAATATATAAATACAGCCATTAAATTTTAACTTATTACTAAAGGTAGGTTATTACTTAATGTACACTCCGCATATTAGCTTGGTGCGGCAAGCGAACAGCTAGCTAGGTGAAGACTGAAAATCAGCAATGCTGAGTCTTTAGCCTTTTTGTCCACATCACTCAATTGTTTTCTTTTTCTATTCGGTTTTTAAGTATTATGTTCCTTATGTTTTGCGGAGAAATAAATACCTTTTTATTTTTATTTATTTTTAAATATAAATAGACAACAATAGATAGAAATATACATTTATTATATACTATTAGGGCGGGTTGTCAATTTAGTAAATATTTTTAAATTTTTAGAATACACAATTGTTTGCAGTTGTTGTGATTATTATCGCACACAATTTTGTTTTCTCTTATCTTTTTTTAACCTAATACGCAATCAAATATTGACCAGTTTAGTAATTTAAAAAAAAACATGTTATAGACCGAATTTTTGTTGAATGTCAGATTGTTTCATTATCATGATATTCAATTTTTTTGTGAAATTACTCCACTATTTTGTTATAATTATTAAACAAAGGTCGGACACTTAGAAAAAATTCACTTCAATCCAGTTAAATTCGAGCCAACGCCTGCCAGCAAACCGTGGCAGACGCTATGTTAACTAAACCACAGAACGAACCAACGAACCTCACGAATTTTTCCATGTGCTTGTTAACGCTTTAACGGATTTTTTGCCGTGTCGCCTTTTCTAAGTGTCCTATCTTTGTTTAATAAATATGTCATAGATCAGTTTTCAGATTATTGTTCAACATATTTGTATGCCTAATGTATAGCCTTATACAGTGAAGCTAGAGGTATACTTATTTGCTTTAATATCAACTTCTATACAACCTGCGTTTTTGCACAAATAAATGAACGCTTTCCTAATTGTTACTATTTCTGGGTAAAATCGTGCACTAAGATATTATGAAATTGAATATCACGTCAATCTTACTGTCTATGTAATTGCAGAACCTGCGCGACAACGACGGCCGGTCACTGTCCTCTTCGCAGTTTTCGCTGCAGCAGGCCGCCGACGGCAACGTCGTGCTTGTGCCTAAGATGCCGCAACATCCTGGTTAGTATATATTATATAGTTATATATTATTATCAATGGCCGCGAAAAGATGTTACACAATATAACTATAGCTACAATGAGCGACATAGAGTTGTTCAAACCATCAAATATTAATTATTTTTTCGAATTCCGGACTTCCGGAAATGGTTTTATGCATCGTAAGACAAAGCTACTGACCTAGGAAATCGGAAGTTGGATTTGAAAGTAATTCTAATAGCGCCATGTAAAAAATGCAGTAGATAACTGATCTTTTACCAAAGCAGAGAATGAAAAAATAACGAGAACGTTCACTCCTCCCCTTCCTAACTTTAGTTACCGCAACACTCCCCCCATATTGACGGAACGGCAACAAGGCTGTCAGTTATCTACTGCATTTTTCTACATGGCAACATTATTTTAAAATCCAACTCGACTCTCTAGGTCAATAGTTTGTCCTACGGTGGTGGTGGTGGTTTTAACAGCTCCAAGTCGCTCCTTGTAGCTATGTATTTACATGTGTCTACATATAGCACTGTTAATTTTATAGTGTATTAACTCAAAAAGTGTATTTTGTCGAAATCCACAAAAAAACGAATTACTTGCTTCCCGTGAAAGATCTGTGTAAATTTATGTATAGATTATTTTCTACTTGCCAAATGTACATATTTAAAAGTGAAAGAGAAAAAATAATTTCATATTTTTGAATAAGAACTATTTTGGCCAGAACTAGCTCACATAAAGCGTGTCTCATTTTGAGTTAAGTAGTTAAGTAGATATCTTTTAGTTGTTTTTGTACAGTATTCTAGCGACGGTTTTTTTGACGTGTAGAGGATCCAATTTTCCGTGCAACAATAGCATAATCTTAAATTTCACATATTTTGAGTTATAACACTATTGTAATAGCAGTGCGATATGTGGAACACCTCTTTCCGACCATTGATTATCATACATCCAAAGATCGAACAAACACAGAGAAAAGTTCTTTCAATCCAACTGAGATGTCGCGTACACCCTTTCTGCAAAATACTGATGATATATCAACAGCAATTCACGGGGAAAAAGTGAACTGTAAGCAGTCCTTAAAACCTAAACACGCTCACAAGAAAGATCTACGAAATGTCGCTTACGCCCTTTCTACGAAAAGGGCTACGACACACCCACAATATGTCCTTCAAATTGTAATGCGAATTAAAGCCTTTTAATTTAAATTAAGAAAAGATTCACAATTTTTTTTTTTTCAGATCACCCAATGAACAGAAGTTCGGAAGACGAAATGGACCGCAAACAGTGACCACCGCTCCCCGCACAGTCCCTGCACCTCGCACCCGCGAGATGGTTCTCTGACAGTCTGTGAAATCACTTTTCTAACCGTGTCTATTTTTGTCTACTTGTATATTTCGTCTATATAGACAGACATACAAATAACCACAGAAGCAATCTACAATTTCTAACTTTGTCTAATTGATGACAGTTGACATTTGTTTTGTACACTATGTCTATATATTTATATAGACATTGTATACATGCATTAGTTAATTAACTACGGTATATACATAGTATATTATTGTATACAAATCAGTACCATACTGACAGTATGTAAAATTAACATTTCTAATGTTGTCTATTTTTATGTCTACTGTCTATTTGTGTATTACAGATGATAATAAATGTAAAATAGGATAAGGTTGTATACAAGCTGTCTTCAATTGAAGTGCTGTAGTGTTTTGTCTGAACGTGGTGAAGGATTTGGGAGACCCTCGCCACGTTCCGGCATTTAAAAAAAAAACATTTTAAGGTCTAACATAACTTGTACGCCTTTATATTAATTTAGCCGAGAAAGTAAATGGACTGTCAAGTCATTTAGATTGAAGATATCATCTCAAAAAAATATGTGATAAGAGATAAAAAAATTCCATTTTTTTATAGTTTTCTGTGTAGATTAATTTCAATATTTGATTTTTACATTGTTGTCTACATGAGGAGGTCTGTGCTCAATAGCGGACACACTATATAGCACTTTTATTATATGCACCATTAAAATTTCGCTTTAAATCACACAAAACAACTGTTGAATGTGACATGTCAATTATCTCGTTTCAAAATATGACACGTTACTTATATCTTCAAATATGACGCGTGACTTATGTCATTTCGAATATGCCACGTCAAATTTAACCTGTGCAAAGCTAACAAAACAATGTCAATGGCTACAACTTGCATTGATTTTCTCTGAACCGCCTTATGGTTTAGTGACAACAGTGTACTTATCAAATTTAGTTTTTTGGGTTCGCATAGTTCTTTTTAGAATAATTAACAAGGTAACACGTTTATTTATTGGCTCCGTGCGGTAATAACGCCCTGACTAAAAGCAATTTAGCATTCGTCTTCAAAATGAACCCTACCGGGAATTGACTCCTTTATGTCCTTGTAATATTAAGAATATCACAATTTATTACTTACAATGATATTCAATTTTTTTTGCGAAATTACTCCACACGTTTGTTACAATTATTAATACAAAAATCTAATATTAAGAAAACATCCAAACTTGGCTAAGTGATGAAAAACTTTCATAGATTTCTCACAATGGCGCCATTGTGAGAAATCTACGGCAGAAAAAATCTACCACAAACACATAGAAAGATTCTTTATGTCTGCTGGTTCGTTCCGTAGCTCAGTTTGGAGAGCGTCAGGCACGGTGTGCTGAAGGCAATGGTTTTGCAGGATTTTTTCTTAGTATTGGAGCTTTGCATACTTATTATTATGTCACATTTGATTACAAAATTTGTGGCGCTGGCAATACGCGCGGAGCTAATATTCGTGTTTTAAATTCTTTAGAATGACAAGGAACTTAACGACAAATGGAAATAAAAAATATTTTTCTTCGCGAAATTTTCAAATAATTGTGACAGTGAAAATATAATTCGTAAATATAATAATTATCTCATGCAACTTTATTACACGAAGCCGTGAAGGAAAACAGTATAAAAGCATACAAAGCAAGCGTTGGCGATTTCTCTGAGTGGCACTGCAACTGTTATGGATACGCGTGTCGCTTACCACCAGACGCACGACTTCTTCGTCTGACGGGACAACTTGGTAACATAAAAAAAAAGTCGGCGAGGGTTCACTACTTTTTTAAAACGTGTAAAAGCCCTCTCTTGTATGTCCAAACTTTGTGTTAAGTTCCTTGTCCAGCTTGGGCTTCGAAAAACTAACAAAAAATGCCAGAAATGACTGATTTAATAATTTAAAAGAAAAAAACATTTTTAACAAAAAAAAACCTAAATAAAAAAATACCTGATGTCTGTGACATCTATATTGTTGCAATAAGTAAGAAATAACATAAGCTATGTTTTTTTGTAATATATTTTTTCTTTCTTTTTTTAACTATAAGTTGTTTATTTATGTATAATAATTATGAATTAGAAAGAAATAGGCTAAATTATATTTTTTTTATTGTTATATATATAAAAAATACTGTTTTTCATTTACTGTTTTGAACAAATGGTTTTCTATATTTATTAAAATTGCGATCAATTTTCTTGCGAAAATTTGGAGATAAGTTTGACAGGTCTTAAATTGGTCACATTAATGTCATACAACATACTGGATGAGCAGTGTACTATTTATATATCAGATAGTTGTAAGGCTAAATACAGGCTGTTCTGTGTCCACCTGTAATAGTGAATTTTCATGTCCCAAAACCATGTAAAATTTAATTTTTTAGTATTAAAGATATCAGCAAAATAAACAACTCTGAATTAGTTTTATTGTTTTGTACTTAGCATTGTTTGCTGTTAATCGTTTTATGGCAGCAGTTAATATCTAACAAACTCCTACTTTTGCAATCTGACCAATCAAGGGCCTTTTTTTTTTATAGTTTTCTGCGTAGATTAATTTAAATATTTGATTTTAACATTCTTGTGGAGGTCTGTGCTCTGTAGTTGGACACACTATATAGCATTTTTATTATATGCACCATTAAAATTTCGCTTTAAATTTCTATTAAATTAAACACAAAATGGCAACTGTTGAATGTGACATGTCAATTATGTCATTTCAAAATATGACACGTCACTTATGTCAATTCAAAATATGATTCGTGACTTAAGTCATTTCAAAATATGACATCACCTAATTATATCTTCAAATATGAAGCGCGACTTATGTCGTTTGGAATATGACACGTCAAATTTAACCTGTCAAAAGCTAACAAAACTATGTCAATGACTACAACTTGCATGGATTTTCTCTGAATCTTGAAGTACCTTGACACGTATACAAAAGCACTTTAAACTTGTCACTTCACACAGGTCAGATGGCTTATGCTTAAAATATCAAGATACTGGCTAAATTTCTAGAAATACAGAGTCAATAATACCTCCTTTGAAAAAAAAAACAAAACGGTATAGTTATATTTTCACTTATAATTACTAAACTTTCTTCTAAATACTGTAATTGTTAATTTCACATCAAAAGTACAATAATTTCAGGGGGAGGTATTATTCATCCTACGCACACAGTACACTATTCTAAACTACATTACTATATCACGGACGTGTTTATAGTACAAGGATTGGACGCAGACGGAATGTAATTATGAAACAAAAACTGACAGACCTGTCAAACTTCATTTAGCTGAAACTTACAATATTACGGAACGGATAAGAAGCGAGATTTTGTAACCACAGCATAATGAACCTTATTGCAATTGTGTAACGTAAAATTGTGTTGTATAATATAAAACTATATAAGCAAAAAAAACTGGCGTGCCTTCCGGAGCACAGTCGCGTTGTCAACCTTATCGCAATTGATATACAGTTCATGATATGTACAATTTTGTCACAAAAACTTACTTCCCTTCCGTACCGCAGTAATGTAAATTCAGCTTAAGAGTCTAATACTTCCTCAGCTTGAATTAAACTTTTCCCCGTTTTAATATGGTTCATTTTGCTTGGATCGAGGGGTGTGAAATATGCAAGCGTGTTCTATTTAGTTCAGTTGACATACAAAAAAAACATTAGTAAAGTTCGTATTGAATACTGCGGTTTTCTTGTAAAATTTCGAGGTAAGTTTGTGTTTTCTTTTCTATCGTGAAAATTTTTACCAATCGTGTTTTCGTACCGTATACTAATCAGTGCATACCCGCATTTGTACTATATTTTTTTCAAAAGCAATTAATTCAACATTTTCAACTGTTATGCGCAATCAATCAAAGCCGTTTGAGGTAGTATAGACTCGTGAGCAATAGAATTGACGGCAATGCAAAAATAATATTAACTCGTCGGGATGCAAGTACAATTAAAAAAAACAGATTTTTGTATAGTTTTTTTTTTTATATTAAGGCTTTAACGTTGTAACTGGCGATTCGTGAATGCATACTGTACCTTAACGAACGGACTTAAGGTCTAATTTTAGCGAAAAAAAGTTACATAATTCGATATAGAAATAACCCTTGTAATATGGTCACATTTGCAAAATGACAACTTTTTAAAAGATAGAAGATTCTACGAACGAATTTAATCGATTACTTGTAATATTAATTTATATTGAATTTCATGATGTTTTTTAATATCGTGATATTCGTATATATTGTGAAATTACAAATGTCGAACAAATACAATCAGATGCTATAAGTGACCGTCAAATGCTAGAAATGCTCGAGTACAATGGTCAAGTAAGACGTAATATTTTCACATTAAATAATTGTGATTACTTGAACATATTAACATAACGATATAACATGCCTACCAAAATACAGTTTAAATCTAATGCATACACAAATCAATCATTAAAACTTTTAATAAAATTGAAAATGTCATTGTGTTTACTATTTGTATTTTATCTTTCTGGTTTCTATTAACTTTCTGTTCTCTAGCCCTAAAATATACGTCTACAATCTGAACAGAGTGTGGTTTACACGAAAAGTCAATGTGACGTGCGTGACTGTCAATAATAATTGACCGAAATTGACAGAATGCATTGAGCAATTGACCAATTTGCTCGGTCAAGTTGCTCCAACACATCGACAAACTCCATGAACGCTAAGCCAACTATATTTTTTGGTCATCTTCTGTTATTTTTGTAAACAGCAACATATTTATTTACTAATATTATGCTTCCTGAATTTTGTGAAAAAGAAAAGAAACGTAAGACAAAGTTTGAAAACAAAAAAAAATTGTGAAAAAATAAATAAACAAAAACAGAACAGGTCTTCATTGGAATCGACATACAACTTGACGGTCACATTGCATCTCTAATTTGGTTTAAACGACTTTTTTAGATCGATAACTTTTTTTATGCACAACCTCCTAATACCCAGCAAATACAATGGATATAAACGTTAAACACCCAATGTACTAAATTTAGGTACATGCCCAGGCCCAAGTACGTATGCCTTCAGTAGGGCGAGCACGACAGGACGCGACTTGCTGAAGAGTGATTTAAAGCGGGAGATGTTGCTCTTCTTGCATCATCGAGTTGTATAATCAGAAATAGAGACAATGTCATTCAATTTCTTTGAAAACTCTTCGATTGGCCGGCCCGAACTCGAAACAATTGACGGGTGTCGTCAATTGTTTCTCTTCAAAACGACCAGTTTAACTTGAGCTTTGCTGTAATGGACGAAAATTGAAAAATTACTTATTTAATTACCGATGAAATGTGATTCCGATTGTTTCGTAATTAATTTTTTTGCCGTTTTTCCCACACCACCGAATGGAACGGCCCCCATTGTTAGAGATATTATCTTTATTACAATAAATACAGAATATTTTTGGAATATACGAAGACGTACACACAAGTCAGTTGTTGGCGCTGTACTATTTCAGTTTTGTAATTTGTGATTTCAGCGCAAACGAGATTTGATATTTAAAAGTGATATAAGGCCCGTTTCCCTGATAAGTTGCAAGGGATGGATGTCCCTTGTTTCGTCTCTATTTCTGGTTATATACTCGACGTCTGGTATAGAAGTCTAGCCAGTCGTGCCAGCCCTACAGTTTTGTATGTAAAACCTATTTTTCTAAATACCTTAAGGTCATAGAATATAGAGCGCTAAATTTGAATCCGATATTTACTTTATAACGTACACAGAGCAATTACGTGATCATAGGGATAATATCGTATAGGTCGCATTCACTTCACAGGCCTTAGGAAGTTAAATAGAGTTATATAATTTCTAGTTATACTTAATTTGTTTCGTCTTGTCCGTATTATTTTTATGACAATTTTGACCTATAGCCACTAGTGGCTTCGTACAGGGTTATTTTTTATAATACTAAGAACCTCTCAGGACTATATTAATGACATCAAAAATATCAACTGTTTTTCTTCAATGACTTTACGAAACATATCCGCTCACGCGATGCGCTCCTGCTACCGCAAAATGGCAGCTATTTGGTTTCGCAAATTAGAAAAGCATTCAGTTTAAATACAACTTTTTATAAAGGAAAATTATTATTTTGCATTGCTAAATAAATACCCTCCGTACTACCAACAAAACATCTCAAATAAAATGCAGTAATACACCGCAAATCCTGCACTTAAAAAGCACTAATGAAATTTTTGGTGTACTTGGATAAATATGATAATATTCCGTTTGAGTGGTTCTAACGTTTACCATGAAATTACTCCTTAAAGTATAGTTTATAAACATTTATATTCAGGGTAAACTTAAAAAACGCTACTTACGGTATGTTTTCAATAAATAAAAACCGAAATCACCAGCCCAAACAATAACACACACGATTGTCGTGACGTATTTTTGAAGTTGTTTATTTTTTTTAATGATCA